CTTTTTAAAGTTGCATACCAAAGGAACTACTTTAACATGAAATAATAATGAAATCCCTACTAGAATGACTTTAAATACTTTGGTATATTTTACCCATTGAGGACACTAAATAAATGTTATGTTTGTAATAGGAACATGTTACAAATAGATTACACTGCACAAAAATTGTATGAAAATGAAGTGACGCTGTAACATTTCAAAACAGACTCCTATTTGTTTGCTTAGCTATGGTAACAGAATCACAGAACCGTTATCATGCTGAAGGAAGCCATTCAGCCCATCATGTCTGAACCAAAATCTTTGAGCATTTAGATTTGGTACCCATTTCCTGTTTTTATTCCCCATAGCTCTGCACATTGTCTCTATTTAAATAATCATCCAATGCCCTTTTAAATGCCTATATCGAACCTGCCTCCACTGTACTTCCAGGCAGTGAATTACAAACGCAAACCACTTGCTGCGTGAAAAAGTTTTTCTGACCTAGCATTTGCTTCTTTTGCCACACATTTTCAAACTGTGCTCTCTGGTTTTCAACTCTATTAAGAGTGGAAACATTTTATTCCTAACTACTCTATCCAAACCCTTGTGATTTTGAAATTTTTTACCAAATTTCCCCTCAGCCTTTCCTTTCCAAGGAAACAGGCCCCAAATCTTAAATCAACCCTATGTAAGTTCAGCACAATCTCCCTGCTTTTGTATTCTGTACCTCTATTAATAAAATCTAGAATATTGCATGCCAATTTAACAGCTCTCTCTAATTGTCCTCAAACAATTGGGTCTGTGCTGCTGCATACTTTTCAGAATAGTACTTTATATTTTATACTATCTCTCTATATTCTTTGTACCAAAGCGTATCACCTCATACTTCTCTGTACTGACTTTTGATCTGTCACCTATCTTCCCGCTCCACCAATGTGTCAATGTATTTTTGAAGTTTTGCATTGTCCTCTGCATAGTTTAAAATTCTCCCAAGAGTTGTATTGTAATTCAAAACCTAATGTAACAAGAAATGTTTTCTAACCCTTTACTTACTTTACTCCATCTCACACTCAGTCCATTTTCATAATGACCTGATAAAAACAGGAGCTAGTTAAATTGAAGACTATATGGGCTATTTTACATTTTTTTTGGCAAAAAGAACATTTACATCTCATTGTAGAATATACCAATATAGCACACAAGCCATATAGGGTCGGATTTTCTGTGGAGTGGTTATCTCATGCAGACTGCAGTTCCCATTCTTCTTTTATGAAAAAAGAGAACTCCATGCTTCTGAGAGGATGTTCCACTTAGGATTCCCTCAGAAATACAGAACCACCTTTCCATTCTGACAGTTCTCTCATAGTGCACAATTATCAGAGCAAGATAAACTATGTCCTCTTTACACAGCAGTTAGCTGCAATATTCAGAGATGTAAAGATCCTGAACATAATAATGTTATGGTGCCAGGGGGTACTGTGCCAGATGGCTAAGAGTGATACAGTGCCGGGTAAGTAGGATGCCAGCTGGGAAAGGTGCCAACATGAGAGGGGGTAGGTTGCCAGGGTGGCATGCCAGTTGAGTAAGGGATTAGGGAGCCATGTAAGTAGCATGCTACCAGGTTAGAGTGATGGGTGCTAGGTAGATAGGGTGCCAGCTGGGGAAGGTGTAGTGTGTCACCAGAGATTGGCAGGTGGGGAAGAGGAAGGTGCCGGGCAAGTAGGGTGCCACGTAGTCAAGGTGCCACGTAAGTAAGTGGAAACTTTTAAAGAGTTCCAAGCGTTGAGGAATTGCGCAGCTAAAAATTCAATTTCCCGGCCAGTTCCTTCGCAGTTTGCTGTTTCCCCATGCGCTACTCCAATCTACTCAGAGATAGCAAGAACTGCAGATGCTGGAGTCAGAGACAATACGATGTGGAGCTGGAGGAACACAGCAGGTCAGGCATCATCAGAGGAACAGGACCTTCAAGGGTCCCGACCCGAAACGTCAACTTTGCGGCTCCTCTGATGCTGCCCGGCCTGCTGTGTTCCTCCAGCTCCACACCGTATTGTCTCCAACTGCAGTCCACGTTGCAATGACGAGTGTCCGGCCAGCGGAAAATCCGGATCCTATTTCCGAGTTTCTTCACACTCGCTTTGTACAATAGAAGAGTTTAAGGGCCCAACGTGTGGTGCCAATCATAACGCTACAATTATCTCCAGCATTCATCGCAGACTTTGCTGCCGCGTAAATACTAGATTAAAAGGACAATGCAAAAATAGTTTGCAACCATGTTAACTTATAGATTGCAATGAATGCACTTGTAATTGTTTTATATTTTGTTCACACTAATTCCTGTAATATCGGCTGGACATTAGGGGTATTTCGCAAATCTGGTTACTGATAAACGTAATTCGGGCTTACAAATCATCTTACTCTTTAGCAATAGTATATTTTTAAAAATGCTCCTGAAGTCCCCACCAAATCTTACTTCCTCAAACACATCATTTTCATTCGGTTGTGCAATGGGAATGGCACAGTTTCCCCTTTGAGCAGATATGTTCGCAGCTCAGAGTCAAGCTCTTAGGAGCATAAAGCTATCCACAGCTCTTACCAACAATATTTCTACATGTCCTACATGCAATTGATGTACATAAACAAGCAAGACTTCAGGAATCACAAATGTTTGCAGAATTCCTTTAAATCCACCGTCCGCACCTGTGTGCCACAGAGATTTTTGTGCGAGTTTCTAGAGGGTATTTTTCACGGCCTTTACTGAACTGTTTTTACATTTGTTTGCTCATCCTGTTAATCATCAATCTCTTCCATGCGTATAGAGCGTACACCATTTAGCGGAGAGCATTTGGGATTTTTTGCCATTTGTGAGTGAGGTGCGATATTTGCATTATTTTTTAATGCAAAATCATGACAAATAGACAGATGAATTCCACACCCAAATGTGGCTGCACTTTGGTTAAAAGGAAATGGAAATAAAACAGCTAGAAATCATTTTTTTAAAGGACTTATTTTCAATATAACAATTTTGACGTCGTTATGCTATCTGAAGCCTTTCATGCTGTCGGTCAATGTTTTGGATTAACTCAGTTGGGGGAGGAATGTTGCCCAACTTGTTTTGGCAAAGTTCATTTTTAGACTTGCACGTTCTAAGTTTTGTAGCAAGAATGTGCTCATCAGTAACGTATTTTAGTTGAAGACTAAGTTTGTGTCAGAGTAACCTGCTGTAAGATTAAATCATGAAACTAAAGTTATTACGACTAAAGGAGTTCAGTACTTTCAAGTATTCCAGTTCCCGAGGATTTTTTTTACCTCATCTAGTGCAACCAGACCGAGCCCGTTACTTTCTTTATATCAGTTTCGTTTGTAACAATAATGGTATTCAAGTGTTAAAATAGATAGTCGAGCCAGCATTAACGTTCATGATTGGTTTTGCAAATCGGCAGCATTACGTCCAGGTGGATCTTGTATTATGTGGATCTTATTACATTGCACTGGGATAATCTCCACACTGCAACTGTGTTGAAACAGCCGAATTAATTTCAGTGGTGTTAACAGGCTGATGTTTTTAGCTGATGACTGTTCCCCAATATATTCAGCAATATTCCTAAATATCGGGAAATCAAATCTTCATCCTTCCACCGCTGTCACGATCCAATGGCTTCCACATATAACTTCTTGTAATAGGAACTGAGCATTCCGATACAACACCAAAACTCATCTCTGCACTACACATGTGGCAATGGACTAACAGGAAGTTTGCAATGCATTTACGATGTCTCAATCTCTGTTTGCTTGTGCACTCACTTATATCTAGTACATGGTGTGACAGGTTTCCTTTCGCTTACAAAATGTATGACTTCTAAAATTATTTTCATAACTCCGAATGTCGATTTATGTTGATCCAGAGGTTTTTCTCATCCACCGACTTATTTGTTGTAAATCTGTCCAGTAAAATGTGTTTAAAACAGGCACTGATTATCTAAGTATGGTCTGTGATTTCCCCCAATTACTTCTGTTGGCGGATTTACCCTGCACTAAACAATATAACGATTAATTATTTGAAATGTGTCATTCACAATCGATTTTCTGGGCACGACTGCTAATATAGACTCCAGTATTAAATGCCAATTTCGTAATATTTGAAGTTTACAAGCTAATCACTGAGCCAGGGTTGCAGTTACTATTTCATTAGCTGGAACGGATATATGCATAACATTTTCAAATCTATCCACTGGTTACTTTCAGTTCAGGATTGATAAATTCATTTTAATCACGAGGATGTCAGAGAAGGAAACACACACACGCAGCCTTTTCGAAAGCATGATTGATGTGGCGACCAGTGCTAACATTGATGCACTGGCAAATAAACATTTGGCACGTTAACGAAAGAAAAAAAAACATAGGAAACAATCCGAGTTGCACCAAGCTAGCCCTGGTTGAGCACCAAATCCATGATAATAGCCTTCAAATAAGCGATTCGGAGTTATTCCCTGATCTATCAACATTCCAATTCTCTTCAGCCCTGTGTTATGTTTCTGTCGTCGCCTTTAGGCTGGTTGGGAAACACGAAGGGTTCACTTTACTGATGAACTTCCATGTGGTTGCGATCAAGGAGATTGTCTGGAATTTTCGAACGCTTTCCAGACTCTTCCCGATCCCTGAACAGCTACCCAGCCCCCAGCCCCGAGGACTCCCACTGAACATTTAAACTCTTAAATGGAAGCGTCTTTTAATTCCTATGGTTGTGCGAAGACTTGATAAAAATTTCCGCTGGTAAATGGGTCAATTCTCTCCATTTCCTTTGAATCCTGACCTCTGGCACGCTGAGCCGACGTATATCTTTCCCAAACATATTTGGAATCGGCAGGAACCTTGGAAATACCCCCCAAATCATTCATTCCAGTCAAAACAAAATGAGCCTGAAACCGTATTAAGGGTTGTGGGGGGTGGGAGGTAAGGGGGAGGTGGTGTCACCATTTCCACTTGGAGAGATACTCCCACACACACACTGCAGTCACACCGCACGCTTTACCAATGGCGATCCCACGCAGCATCCATCCCCATCGGCTCTTTGTTCCCCATGTTAAATAATCCAAGTTGCTAGCACTTTAGTTTTGCGTGGTGCGGGTCATGTTCTTTATTTCTAGGAGTGGGAGCTGAAATACTGATCGATTAAAGGGTCAAGAAAGGAACACTACAGAGAGAGAGAGAAAAGAGGACGTTTCCAGAGAGACCGATGCCTCCTGCACAGTGCGTGAAGCAGTCCCTCCGCATGTAAAGCGGGAAGAACCCAGAGAGAAAGGACAAGGCGAGAGCGTGCTTTCAGGAAAGCCCCCGGAGCTCCGGCGGGGTTACGGTGCTGGAAAGTCCCCGGAGGCCGACAAGAGGGAGGGGAGGCGAGAGCTACCGGCTCTCGACTGGCGAGGTCAGTTCCTTTACTCGGTCGCTTCCCATTCTCCCAACCCCTTCTCAACAGATTTCATCCAAACCAAAGTGTTTGGCGTGTTCCTGGTTTAAGGAGGAACAGAGGGGGTCAGTCCATCTGTCCCTGAGAATGCATTCGCGGTTTTAGACGGGGAAATGCAGCCACTTTGCTCCGACAGTGACGGGGAACCGGGTTAGCTGCTGCTCTGTGGGGGCGCTGAAATCTTTAGGCAATGCCTTATTTCACGGGGTCGTCGCAAAGGCCAGAAGGTGGAGGTAATCCCAGATTCTCCCAGAGAGGCCAGTGTTGACCAAAACTACTCCTGTTCTTCCTCATTCCCTGGTCTGAACAATCAGGTTGGACTGAACTCAGAGTAGTTTTGGAAATGAAATTAAAAAGCTAGTCATGTTATTTTAAAATGTAAGACGACTGACCTTATTGATTCAAGTGTAGTTCTTAGTAATCTGCATTTTTCATTTTGTAAACGGTTTATTTTTCCCCTTTTCAGACTTGAAAGCTTCCGTTTTCAAATGGCAATCTCCCAAGGATCTGAGCAAAACACAAACAGCCCATTGTAAGGGAGAGAGAGAGAGGGAGAGCCCAGGCAGTTTAGTGAGAGCGCCACGTTACCATGAAACAAGATGGGGACCATCAAAGATCTCGATAGTTTGCACATCTCGGTATCAGACCCAATTGAGATGGAGAATGAATGTTTGCCAGAGGCTGTTGTCTGTAATAACCAAGAAGAGAAAGCTGGAAAAGCTGGATTGCATTCCAACTGCCAGGCTCGTTGTTCAAGCCCTTGTACAGACAATAACCTGGACAATGAAAGTAACAGCCATCTGGTGGAGATGAACATTACTGTGCCTAAAAATGCCAATGCAGAGACAGGCAAGTTATGTAAAACGCCTGAGAATGATTTAAGCAAGGAGCAGGTGCAGGAAGAGACCAGCCAACCCCCCAGTAAGACCACTGACGATGAAATCAAAGCCATTTGCCTCAAGACGAAAGAAAGCGCAAGGTTGAATGTTGACAGTTCAGAAGCTGAGTCAGAGACCCCTTTGACAGGCTGTGAGCCAGAGGACAGAAGAATGGAAGCGTCCAGCTGCACTGACCCTCAGCAATCTTTTAATCAGAAAGAGATGGTAAAACCAACAAACGTTGAATCAGTCCTTCAATCAGATATAAACAGGCTAGAAAATTGTCAGCAGAGCGAGAAATTGAGTACAAACATTGAAACAGCTGAAGGTCTTTCACAGATATCTACACCTGCCGCAACTAGCCAAGATGCTGAGGTCCAGGTAGCTATTCAAGTGCAGAAGATATCTGTTGCCACTAGTCCCTTGGCTCCTTTAGATAACTATCCAGTATTTAAAATCCCTGATGTCAGATTACGAGATCAAAGAGTGGAGAAGCCAGCAGCATGCCCAGTGACCCAATCATCTCTCACTACACTGCCTAGAAAAGATGTTGAGATGCAGGTGGATATAACAGTGCAATGTAAATCAGTCGCCACTGGCCCAATGACTCCGTTAGAGAAGACGCCACTTGCCACACTCCCTGAGGTTCATGTGGAGGCCATGGAAGATGAGCAACCAGAGCCAGTGCGCGATGTCCAGTGGGATGAAAAAGGAATGACATGGGAAGTCTATGGAGCATCCATGGATGCAGAAGTGCTAGGACTAGCTATCCAGAAACATTTGGAAAAACAAATAGAGGAGCATGGCAAACAAAACACTGAAGTGTTTCAAAATGATAAACCCATTTCAGTGAAGGAATCTTTGAAAAAGGAAGAAAACAAGAGACGGCAAAGCAATGTTTTTCAAGCAGTTCTGCACAACATAAGAAGTCCACAGTGCTGTACCCGTGGGAGCACTGCAGCAGAATGATTTTGATTTATTTGCGCCCATTGATTAAATGATGAAGAAATATGAAAACTATTTCATTTCCCTATCTTTTTCATGCTTTACCTAGGCAAGTTGATTAATCATGAAAATTAATTTGTGTCACAGAGATAAAAGATTATAAATACATAAGGAAGTGAAGCATGAATATGCTTAAAGCAGATAATTTATTTCATTTATTCTTACGATGTCTTTCTTTTATCTTAACATGTTTTAAAATAGAACTACTCATCTATTCACACATTTCCTAGAATTGCAGCGGTGCACGTGTAATAATAACATGTACATAGATTCTTTGGTTTCACAAAAAATGACGTAAAATTGCTATTTTATTCCCAATACCTGATCTTGCTATCAGAAACCAACTACACACAATAAGATGACTGGCAGTACAGATCCCTGGCATCTATCATCACTGCTCTGAAAAGGTTGACAAGGATAAATGCAGCCTCTCCTATTTCCCTGCAGTCCACTTCACCTGTGGGGAGTCACTGGTCTGAAGTTGGTGTCTCCCTCCAGTGATGAAGTTATGTGTCGGGAACTCAAGTGTTATTGCAGATGGAACCCAGCTTCAGACTGGAGGTGATATTAATTGATGTTTATTTGGGCTGCATTTGCCATATCATTCAAATCTGCTTTTGAATTACATTCAATTACATTCAATTTTTTTAAAAAATCATTGAAGTGTTTTTTTTTATTTTCCTTTTATATATGTTTCATTAGAAAAACAGCTGGCCCTTATTAAAACAAAATGCCTGTGCATAATTTGCTAAATCCTTTGTGTAGTAGATAAATTCAGTTTAATTTATTCAAAATAAGGGCTTGCCAAGGAGCATTTTAAAACTTTAACTGAAAACAAAATAATTGGGTATGTTTTGCCTGGTTAACAGAACTGAAACAATGTGAAAACTGAACACTTCAAATAAATTATTTTCTACAATTGTATTAAGATATTTTCAGATCAGTAGAATCTGAGCACAATCCCAGCACTGCTTGGCAATTCTGTTTCTATTTTTCTAACTATTTCTAGCTTTCTAGTGTGGCTGTTATTCTAATAAGATAAGAATAACTTATCCATTGAACAAATACAAAAAAAAACACCCAAAAATGTGTAGTTGCCTCAGCTTAGTTACTGTCTGAAGTCATTTTCTTATACAATAACTTGCTGGCTGCTAATGAGTGGTATGTGTGCTAACATAATTGTAGATTCAAGGTTTTGTATTGGTCACTTTACACTGATATATTGTTATTATTGATCCTTTAGATTTCCACAAGCAGAAATCTGAAGTAAAGTGTTTGCTGAATGTGGTACTGAATTAAACCCTTGGGTGCTCTATGTTGAATGAATAGAAATAACCATCAAATATTACAGTTTACTCCATCCTCTCACCAGAAAAGGCAGTAAACCTCTTATTACAATTTGTTTTTCTATGTGGACAATGCTCCATTTATTCACAAAATATAATCTATCTGTAAAACCTTGCTGTTTTGTGGCTAATCTCAATGCCAGAACTTGCTTCTTAAAAATATGTCAAGGTCAGGTTTCTGTTTCATGTTATGAATAGTTTTAGTATGGGTTGTTAAAATATTGTAATCTCAAATGTTGTAAAACTGCAAAAAAGATTGGAGGGATTAAAATATCAGTCAAGCTCTTCAGTCAGAACAGTTTTCTTTATTTAGTTTAATGATAACATGAATACAGTTACACTGCAGTTGTTACATTTCTTTCCTTATAACACAACACTCAGCGAAATCTGAAAAGGATACCAAACTATGAAAACTATTTTTGATATTTTTGCTTCAAATTTTAATTTCTGATGTTAAACCTGCAGGTCAGAACTATTTGATGTAACAATTTGTGGCATTGCAATATGTCGAACATGTGTTTCATTCTGCACCAACTACAGGGGCATCTCACTCTTTAGCATCACGGAGAAGGCCTTTGCAGACCAAGTGTACCTGGAAGCAGAGTGTAGTTTCGGTAATGGCAGATATACTGTGGACACAGTCTTCACATACCAGCTACGAGAGAGGTCTAGAGAATAGGATATACCCCTTTACCTTACTTTCATAAATCTCACTAATGCATTCAACACTGCCAGTGGAACAGAATTTTCGAAAAATTTAGCTGTGCACCAAAACTGCTGAATCTGATCTGCTCTTACCATGAGCATATGCACAGCACTGTACAGTATGATGATTCCACTTCAACAGAGTGACAAATAGAGTGAAAGAGGACTCTGTCCCAGCCGCCACTCTTTTTTGTATCTTCTTCTCCATGCCCCCAATCTTTGCCCTCTGAGCTGACCTAGAGGAGTTTACTTATATGCAAGGTCAATTGACAAGTTCTAAAATCCATCACGACTGATAACAAAAACAAGTGCACATCATCTCCTGGTCAGGGAACTCCTTCTTGTGATGATGCTGTGCCAGTTGCATATACTGAAATTCATGTACAAAATCTCATGGACTTTGTCTACCAGACCTTCTCCTTGACCATAACAATCAAGAAAAGTGTGGTCATGGAACAAGATATTGCATCTCTTAATTAACATCTTCTTGTAGAGGTTGACAAATTCTACAACTTTGGGAAAACAATGAAAGACAACCTGTTCCATGATTCAGAACTTGCTGTACACAGAGGAAAAGCAGCTACTACCTTTAGCGAATTTATGAATTACATGTGGAACAACATCAAACTAACCCTTAGGAACAAGCTGAAGGTTTATGAGACCTGTTCTCAGCAGCTTGTTGCATGACTGTAAAACAATACAGCTATCAAGAAAAGCAGTTCAACAATTTCCACCTTCACTGTCTGCAGTACCTTATATGAATCGCCTGGCAGGACAAAATCACAAAAGTGGCAGTCCGCTGAAAGGCAGAGTTTTCTGACAATCATTGAACTAAGGTAGCTCTTTGGTCTCGGGCACAACTGCAGGATAGAAGATGGTCACATTCACATGAAATTTGTGGATGGTTAGGTAGCCAAAGCTAGATATGAGGGTGCCCAAAGCTCAGCTTCAATAATTTACACAGCATTTTTGACATGAAAGTGCTGGACCTTGATTATCACACCTAAGAGTCACTAGCTGGTGACAAAGAAAAATGGGCTGGCACACCCTGTCGTGATGATCAGTGGCTACAGCAGTTTGACACCAATGCCAAAAATAACAATAATACAAAATGACAGTTGATAATTTCATTTGTGATACATGTGACAGGACCAGCCTGTAAAGGATTGACCTCTTCAGCCAGCAACAAAAATGCAACACTTTAAGGCACACAGTCTGAAATGGACCTGTTTGCTGCCTATCCATCATCTTTTGGAGATGGAAGGATACCAGATCTGGTTTATTCAAACATGAACTATTTTTGGACATATACTGGAATATTCTTCATGTTTTCCAATTCTTACTGTCTCTTCCTCATAATCGGTATGAAGTGATAATCCAGTTTGTTATTCATTCTTGCAACTAGAAAGCCTTTTCTCTTGCTCCAATCTGTCTTTTATTCTTTCCTTTCTGTATATGATGTTTATAATTCAGATGTATTGATTGAATTCTAGTTTTCTATCCCTGTTTCATGCTTTGAAAGAGAAATTTAAAAAATCTTGTGTTCTCAACTGTGTAATAGGTATTTTTTGAACACTTACGATGCCTACTCAATGTAACTCCTTTATTCTACTTCATATGTGCTTATATGGAAATTATTTTCAAATGTTATTTGGCCTTTAGAAATAAATGCTACCTTACCACTCACACATCCCTTTTATGCATTTTCTGAGGAAAGATCAAGTCATGTGACACCCATTGAAGCCTCAGAATTCCACAGAACACTGTCACATGGCTGTTTTCAAGTATATTTTGTCAACCATTCTACCTCTGCAAAATTAAATACAAAGAATAAAGGCAATTTTAGATTACAAAGGGAACAGACTTCCTCACAGAATGTACGTAATAAAATACACAAAGAAGGTATCATGGACTATCACTACTTACAATTTATCTATCTAAAAATAAGTCATGTCTTGACACAAAACTGCGTAACTCACTCAACCTTTGATCTTGTTTTTTTTATGGTTCATCTCATTCTGTGGTTTATTTTTATCTAAATAGCCACTTCCTTGTGTATGACTTGTGTTATTAATGCAGCTAGGAAAGACATTGTATTGCTTTGGTTTGCCTGTTTTGTAATAGATATGTCAAAGTGTTCTGCCATATGGATATTAAATGCTGACAAAGTAAGTAACACTAATGTGGATGCACATCAAACGTGTACAGAGTTAAAACAAACAAATAATAAAATTTAGATTCATTGATATTTACTTAACAGAGCTATTAGTAGTCATCACAAACGAACTGATCATCTATGCTCAGCTAAAATATAATATAGCTTTACTTTATTCCAGTATTTAAAAGCAGAGAGAAACCATATTGCAATTTTACCACGTGGACAGAAGTGTTAAATTATTCCGGAAATCCTTTGTGACAGATCAGTCTTATCCTGTTTCAAGCTTAAGGAATGTCTGTGTTATACATTTTAATTAGCCCAATGCTTTTACTTCCTAAAATTGTCTTTAATGTACTGTGCCATGTTTGAGTTAGACATTGAACTAAAAGGGGACAATTAGCATATATCCCTGGTGTCATTTTCAGAAGGACAGACATTGCCGAAGCATTACCTGTATTAGTCATTCTTCTAACAGAAAACAAAATTATAGTGTTCTCAGGTTATTAAAGATGGAATCAGGTATCTCAGCAGGCATTCATTGTGTTTTTGAACACTAGTTAGCAGTTCTGTTGAATGGTAAGGACACTCACAATTAATTTGTCCTTGATTGAACTTTACTCATAACCAGCGTTAATTCCTGTATATTTTCTCACAGATTTTAAAATCAAAATTGCAACAATTCCTGCAGCTTTTATTGTTTTAAAAGAATGAAGTGTTTTCTTTTAATTCATGATATCTGGACATTGCTGGCAATTTTGTACTAATCCTAATTGCCAGTGGGATGCTGCTTGTGGTATCTGAGCCTTCTGCAGTAACCACGACAGTTGGTGCTAAACAGTACAGCCACAGTGCTGTTGGATAGGATGTTCCAAAATTTTGACCCATCAACACTTAAAATATAACAATCGATTTTCAAGTCAAGATTGGGTGTGATCTTGTTCATGGCAGTGTTCTCAAGCGCCTGCTCCCATTCTAGGTGGTAGCGTTTTGGGTTTGGATAGTACAATTAATTTAAATCAGTTGATTTGAATCTTGCTTTGTTAACCATTCTGACTAAAAATCTTGATTCGGAACAGTCAGCGTAAAAGAGGTGTTGTCTGTTAATTTGGTGTTTGTCATTAGTCACTATGATCAGGATGGTAGTGTAGGAAGATATATTACTTCCAATGCTAAAATGTATAGTTAAAAAGTGCACTTTGTGGCCTGCTGTACAAACATACTTCATAGTCAAGAACACATTTCCTGTCGCATGAATTGAAGGCTTGTCTGCAGAAACACACTTTCCATTGAACAGAAGGGAAGAATATCTTAACCAAAATTAAACTGTAGTAGCAATGAAAATCAAATGGGATAAGGGCTTATCTACAGACAAAAATAAACCAAGAGTTACTCCAGAGAATAATTTTTAACAACATTATTATCTCTAAATTGTCTTAACATTCTTATGCTTCTCTCTGCGAAGCATGTGGCAGTCTCAGGGAAGAATGGGATTAATGGTCTAAAAACCATCCGCATCAGTCTAAAACAGAATAAATGGAAATGTCAGCCCTAATCTATCTTTTCATATTTGTTCATAAGTAAAAAGTTGTATTCACACTTTTTTAAAATGTTCATTATTCTCTTAATGCCATATTTGTTGTTTAGAAAGTATGCACTGTATAGCAACAATACAGGAAGAATTTCCATTAATTCCAACTGATTTTTTAAAATTCATTTGTGGGATGTGGCATTGCCGGCTGGTCCAGCATTTATTCCCCCTCCCTAGTTGCCCTTGAGAAGGTGGTGATAAGCTGCCTTCTTGAACCGCTGCAGTCCATGTGCTGTAAATTGACCCACGATGCCATTAGGGAGGGAATTCCAGGATTGTGCCCCAGCAACAGTGAAGGAACAACAATATATTTCCAAGTCAGGATAGTGAGTGGCTTGGAGGGGAACTTGAAAGTAGTGGTGTTTCTATGTTTCTGCTGCCCTTGTCCTTCTAGATGGAAGTGGTTGTGGGTTTGGAAGGTGCTGCCTGAGGATCTTTGGTGAATTTCTGCAGTGCATCTGGTAGATGACACACACTGTTGCAACTATCAGTGGTGGAGGGAATGGATGTTTGTGGATGCAGTGCCAAACAAGTGGGTTGCTGTGTCCTGGATTGTGTAAAGCTTCTTGAGTGTTGTTGGAGCGTGACCCATCCAGTAAAGTGAGGAGTATTCCATCACACTTCTGGCTTGTGCTGTGTACATGGTGGACAGGCTTGGGGAGTCAGCAGGTGAGATACTCACTGTAGTATTCCTAGCCTCTGCCCTGCTCTTGTAGCCACTGTACTTATGTGGCAAGTAGTTGAGTTTCTGGGCAATGCTAGCCCCCAGGATGTTGATAGTCGGGGATTCAGAGATGGAATATCAAGTG